GGAAGCTGGCACAGCTCAGTTCACAGAGGCAGGAATACGAAGGTGTCAGAATGAAAATCGTTCGTGAAGGCGGCCAGGATAAGAAAGTGTATCTCGAAGGAGGCAGATTGCACTCGAGGTCGCCCTCTCCAGGCAGCCGAGGCCGGGCCACCCACCCAGCCCACGAGCGGTGGCTTCAGGAGCACCAAGCGGAGTACAGAGAGTACCAGGAGCGCTACGGCGAGATCCGGCAGTGGGACCCGCACCGCGACCTGCCTCGAGAACTGCCGCAGAACTGGGACGACGTCCACGTCAGATACCGCTACTACAAGGAATCCGGCTACTTCGGCGACAGGTCGATTACGCTCGACGACTACTTGAAGTGGGAGCAGTGGTGGTACCATTACCGCGACTGGCTGGAGAAGTACGGCGGAACACAGGAGTCCGAGGAGAGGGACTGGCAGTACAGGGCGTCGAGTTACGAGTATGAGGTTCGAGGGGGAACTTCGTCAAGTCAGGGGGGCAGGTGGCCGCGTCGGGAACCGTCAAGAGAAGCCGATGACAGGAAGAGGAGAAGATACTAAACGGTTTCCTAGGTTCTGAAAATTGCCTGTTCCACTATGGGTATTCTATGCTCTGTAATTTTACTGCCGTAAGTTATCAAAATATGTATTTACTTTTAATATACTAATATGCATAAGCAGTATATATATATATACCACTAAGGTATTTTATATTATATGTAAAAGAGATGTTTATTTAAACTTTCCAGATGCGGTCACTTGAAATACCCTTCTTGGGCAGTTGAATAGGTATTGTTAGCTTTGCACCCAAACAAATAATGTGGAAAACAAAGGATAAATATTTCCACCGTGATAAGTATAACAAGTGATTTAAATGATAGCTGCCATTGATGCAACAACAGGTTTTTAAGCGAGGCAGACTTTCATGCAGCTCTTGGATCTAGGGACCACATCATCAATGTGTGCATGAACAGTGATGGCGTAGAAAGACAGCTTAGCTTTCGTCGTAATTGGAAGCTGTTGCTCGACATTGAACGGCAACCGATTTTATCTTCAACACTTCGGAAATAAAGAATTTGCTTTTAGCTACTGCCCTGCATAGCTTTGTAATATATATTGTAGAATATTTTAGAAAACAAGCTTTATTGTCAAGATCACCGTTGTTTGATCTTAGGAATGACATTGTCTCTTTTTACAACCGAAGGATATTAAAGTGCAAACTTTTCTATGTATTACCCGTCCCATTAATATTATATAGGCGAAAGAAACAAATATCCATTTTACAGTTAACTTTTGCATCCAACAGTATAAAGCTTAGATCAGGATATTGCAGCATTTCTGTTCCAAATTTGCTTTTTGTTGATATACTGTATTTTATAATTATATGTATACAGATTTGTGCTCTTCAATACTGGAAAACTATTGAAGTTTAGCAAACAGCATTACAAAGAATGCTTGACTCTTCTTGAAACATTCAGAGCAGTTTGAAACTGGAAGACAAAGACAAATCAGGGGAAAGTATTTTATTTTGAAATGTTTTGTTGCTTTTTTTTCAACGTATCTTTTTTTTTTATATCATACCAGCTTCTGAGAAATCTCTGACCAATTGGAATGATATCAAATTGAGATTTATATATATGTAATGAGAACAGGAAAAAAATCTTTCAGTGACAACAGTGTTTGTGTGGGGGAATTGATTCTGAGAAGCCGTGATATTATTGATTGCTAATGCATATTTTGTCTTAATTTAAGAACTGTTTCTAAACTGTCATATTCAAGTTTGTTACAATGAAATTGCCTTAACCACTTATTGAACAATGACAGGAGACGTTACATATTACATACAAAAAAAAACATAAAAGTGATATCTGTGTGTTTGCAACAGTATGGATGTGCGCTTCTCAATGAAACTCTTTATAAACTCACAATAACTGTTCCATAACTCACAAATCCTTCACTATACAGGCAGGGAAAAGGATGTCTTCCACAAACACTAGCAGTCTACGTATACATTGAAGGATGAAAATGAGCAATTCGTAATGATACTGTTTCATATTAAACTTCTTGTTTTTTTTTTGCAATATGTATTTATTTATGTATGATAGAAACGAGTAATGCTTTCGAAGCATTGCGTTTTAGAGATGATGAAATAAATGTCGTGATATTTATTGTACTTGCTGTATGACCTGTATGATATAAAAATTTTCTTCTCCATATAAAGTTTTGTTTTTTTGTTTTATATCCTAGGCAGGAGATATTTTCGAGTGGTAGAAGCTTATTGAGTGACTTGATTTTTGGGAGGAAATTTCTTATATTTATTTTGATGCACATATATGTTGTTTCTCCTTGATTACGGAATGTATCACTTTTAACAAAGAACAAATATTTATAATTAAGAGTAAAAAAGATAGAAGTCAACATATAGTTTGTAGTTTCGAGAAATGTTCATTACCAAAAAAAAAAATATATGGATTGGTTACACTGGACACAAATTACTCGTCCTCACTTGGTTCATATGATTTTGTTCGTCTTTTTTGTCCATTTAAACAGCAGCTGTCCCAAAGAGAGAATCCGTAAATCAGAGGTTGACAAACTCGGGGCCATTAATCTGAAGATATTAATTTCTAGAATCAAAGGAGTTTAACGGGTAGGAAGAATCAAGAAGCTTGTTGATAGCCTGCAACATCACCCATCACACTGGATGAGTGATGTTGCAGTGGAATGGATATTGAAGTGAAGGAAACATGAACCTGGCTTGAATGTTTAGAAGGGAAAAGGTAGATGTGTAGCCAGTGAAGACCATAGTTGTGGCAGTTTTTTTCTTTCTCTTTTATTACTCCAAGTATGGATATTTTTTATGCGCATGGTTACTCTAGTGCCTTTTCATTAATTATACTAGATTCAGCAAAGGCGAACTACAGATTTCTTTATTAATACTTCACAATAGAAAAAAAATAAGAAACGCAATCAGTAAAGCTACGGAATTTGCGAGAGAGGTTTATATATGTACTTAATGAATGTAGGACAGTCGACAATCACTCTAGTCATGGGGTATGCTTGGCGGTGGTCCATGGGTAAGACTAATGAATGAAAAATGGGTAACGACCAGGAAAAGTTTGGGAACCACTGCTTTAGATGGATATTAATAATGGATATTAATAATGCATCTACCCCTCCCCCCCACTTTCTCTTCTTCATCCCCCTCTTCTTTCCACTTATCTAATCGTTATTATTATTATTATTTTTACTTATTTTCGATAAGTAAAAAATATCTATACTTTTATATTCTAAAAAGATGGATAAAGATGCAGAGTCAATAATAAGGAATAAAGGGAAGCACCAGTGACTTGAGCAAACCGTAGCATCTATACAGAATATTTCTCGATTTCCTCAAGAAAAGGACTTCGTAACTAAATTTAATTCATCATATTTACATACATGAAGTGGCGTAAAAAGTACAAGCTACCCAATAACTTGCCGAAAATATGATTTTTTTTTTTGTTTTCTTCAAGTTCCCATTTATGATTTTGAGAGGGCATGTGATTATACTAGAATGCAGTCTTGCGCATGGATATACTCTACGGAAATGTACATTCTATGTAACTAGTGCATAGCAGGGAATAAATACATAAATATGATGTATTTATAATTATATATCCATATCTATCAATTTAAACGTGTATATATATGTGTGTGTGCATCTTTCAATCTATCTGTATGTGTGTATGTATGTATGTATGTATCCCTTGCTCGTTGTCATTTAGGGGGGGGGGGGGCTTAAGAGACGGAGACTGAGGCCCACTGTAAGGGACCACCCCTGCCTTGGTCCTCAGCCCTCGCCTCAACTAATATTACATGTTTTTTCCCCTTTCTCTTCTTCATCCTCCTTCTTCGGTCCACATATCATAATCGTTAACTCATTTTTTTAATCCTTTTCGCCACAAAACTTTTATCGTAATGCTATACTTGGCCCACTAGTCCCACCCTGTCGCTGCATTTTGAATGCGCCGTTAATAACCTTAGATGTTGAAATTTTTCTGTAAGTTAATATGCATGCATGTATGTATGTAAGCATATACGTACACGCGTATGTATATATGTTTACTGGCATGCCTCTGTACGTATGTATGTATATATGTATAAGTACATGCATACGTACGTATGTGCCTATATATGTATACATACATATATATCTATATACATATATATGTATATACATATATATGTATATACATATATATGTATATGCACATATATGTATATACATATATATGTATATGCACATATATGTATATGCACACACACACACACACACACACACACACACACACACACACACACACAACACAAACACAAACACAAACACAAACACAAACACAAACACAAACACAAACACAAACACAAACACAAACACAAACACAAACACAAACACAAACACAAACACAAACACAAACACAAACACACACAAACACAAACACACACTATCTACACAAGCCCTTTCCCTCGTCACGTGTCAACCCTTGGAAGCCCAAAGCCCCATCGAAGTAAGCCTCTTTTCCCCCCCGCGCGCAACTCCGCTTCCTACTAAGACGTCCTTTCCGTTGATCGTCGCGGGCGGCCTCGGGTGCGCTTTCCCTTATTCAGATGAGTGGAGAATTAAGGTATCTGTTGAATCGGATTAGTGTGGGGGGGGGGGGGGGGGGGGGGGGGGGGGGAGGGTCTTCGTCAGAGCGCAGGGGTCGTTTAAGAGGACGACCTCGTCTAGAATGGAGGAAGGGAAAAATACAGAGGAAGAGGATTTTGATGGTTGTTCAAAAAGGATAATGTATATATATATATATATATATATATATATATATATATATATATGTATGTATATATATATATATATATATATATATATATATATATATATATATATATATATGTGTGTATATATATATATATATATATATATATATATATATATATATATATATATATATATATATATATATATGTATATATATATATATATATATATATATATATATATGCATATATATATATATATATATATATATATATATATATATATATATATATATATATATATATATGTATATATATATATATATATATATATATATATATATATATATATATATATATATATATATATATATATATATATATATATATATATATACATGTGTTGTGTGTGTGGTAAGCGGGAGGTGCGGGTCGTTTAAGAGGACGACCTCGTCTAGAATGGAGGAAGGGAAAAATACAGAGGAAGAGGATTTTGATGGTTGTTCAAAAAGGATAATGTATATATATATATATATATATATATATATATATATATATATATATGTATATATATATATATATATATATATGTATATATATATATGTATGTATATATATATATGTATGTATATATATATATATATATATATATATATATACATATATATATATATATATATATATATATATATATATATATATATATATATATATATATACATATGTGTTGTGTGTGTGGTAAGCGGGAGGTGCGGGTGCACGCGTGTAAATACATATATACATATATGCACGAATTCATATATTCACACACACACACACACACACACACACACACACACACACACACACACACACACACACACACACACACACACACATATATATACATATATGTATACATGAATGAATGTCTTCACAAAACAAGAGATCTATTTGACTGGTTTCGATCATACCTTCGTCAGATATACATTTATTTCTGATGAAGATATAATCGAAACCGGTCAAATACATCTCTTGTATTGTGAAGATATTCATTTTCATTCATACCTTTTATACATATACATATCTATCTATACATTTATTTATACATATAATCTTACATGTATACACATATATTTGCATATACACACTATCTTATTCACTTAACCTTTCCAGCATTTCACTACACCAGCCTATGCGACTAAGATTGCTGGCCCTCGTTTTAGTTACATCTTTAAAATACTTGACTGCCTCTTCATCCATCCAGCGGCCGTGGTCCCCAACTTGTGAAGATCGTCAAATTCCTGCTCTTGAAGGGATCTTCCCTGATTCCATTCAATAAATTTCCAGTAGGAGTGAATTAGGACTCTTAGTCAGTTTGAAATCTTCATATCGTATCGGAAGCACGTGTATGTATATGTTTAAATATATGCAGACCTACTAAATCCCTATGCAATTACGAACAAAAGTTCTGTTGTGAATGAAGCTTTAGAAATCATTCAAGGGGTATACAGCAAGAGTCATATTCTTTAGTGTTTAAAACCGAATTCTAAATGTGTTTGACAAGTGTTTTAGTCGTGACTATACAAGTAACAGACCCCTCCCCCCATATACCCAGGGCCGGATTATGACCTTTTGGGGCCCCTAGGCTAATGGAATTCTGGGGCCCCCTCAGAATATTTTTTACTCGTGATATATTTTACCGACATTTACATAGCTTGAAGTAAACTTATTGCAAATTCTTTAAATAAATTAGCATAGCTATCTTTTGTTTGTCAATAAAAATATTCTTTAAGTATCACTATTTTACTATATTTCAACACAACCGTAGTGAAAAAAAACTGATTTTTTATAACCAAGCCCCTCAAGCTTGGGGCCCCCAAGCTTGAGGGGCCCTAGGCTGCAGCCTATACTAGCCCATAGAGTAATCCGGCCCTGCCCCCACCCCCTCCTTGTATAACAGGTAACAGATACCCCCCCCCCCACCTCCATATATAGCAGGTAACAGATACCCCCCCCCCCCTCCTCCATATATAACAGGTAACAAATAACCTATCCTCCACCATGGATACAAATTCACAGATTACCATGGGTGAAATACTTCTTTAAATGAGGAAAAAGGCATTACATTCTGCATTAACTTTCCTCTAAGGAAATGCACTGAGCACTCCGGACATCTCTGTGGTTATGAGACGTGCCTTCGTATCACGTTGCTTTTAAAAATATAAACTTTCGCGTTAGTGTTTTTGTTGATCAAGTGAGATGGACGAGGTATCAGCGTGCAATATTTCACTTGGATTTAGTTGAAAATGCCTATCCTATGGTTTCTCGTTATAGATGGAAAGGAAAATCGTTTTAGGAAGCACAAAAGGGGATAAGACAGTACTAGGAAAATATCGTATGAGGTTATTGGAAGGGCGAAGATTATGTGTTTGATCCTGATAGTTCCGCGAATCGTATCGTTTGTAAGAGTTGTGTGCGTGTGTGCGTAATGGATATATTTAGGATAAAACCTTGATACGATAACGGATGAAAGACACAGACACACAGACCCCACCCCCCCTTACAGCCACACACCCACCCACCCACCCACCCACACACACACACACACACACACACACACACACACACACACACACACACACACACACACACACACACACACACACACACACACACACACACACACACGCGCACACACACACATACACATACACACACACACACACACACACACACACACACACACACACACACACACACAGACCTTCCCACCCACACACACCCTCCCCCCCCACACACACACTGACCCTCCCCCACACACACACCATCCCCTCCACCCCCCCCCCCACAAACCCTCCTCCCACACACACCTACCCCCTCCCCCACACCCATCACGTATCAACACGCCCGTCTGCGTGTGGGAATGTATACACTGGGGATGGACAGTATATGCACACATTCAGTTTAATGCGTAGTCACAAGTGTATGATTTCTTAGCATTTAATGAATCAGAGGAAGATGTTATGGTTCGTCAATGATGCACTGTAAAATACTTTGCCTAAAATGTTTATAGGACTTGTTTTTTTAATGTTGTGATGATGTTGTTATTGTTATTCTCATTATTGTTGTTGTTACTATTATTATTGACGTTGTTGTTATTATTGTTATTGCTGTTATTATTGTTATTATTATTGTTATTGTTATCATCATCATTGTCATTATCATCATCATCGTCGTCATCACCATCGTCATCATCGTTGTCCTCGTCCTCTTTATCATAATTTTTATCATTATCATTATCGTCATCATCATCATTATCATTATCATAATCATCGTCATTATCATATATTATTATCATTACATTATTATTATTATTATTATTATTATTATATTGTTGTTGTTTTGTTGTTGTTGTTGTTATTATTATCATCATTATCATTGTTATCATCATCATCATCATCATCATTGTTATCATCATCATCATCATTATCATTGTTATCATCATCATCATCATCATTGTTATCATCATCATCATCATCATCATTATTATTGTTATCATCATCATCATCACTATCGGTATCAACGTCCTCATCATCTTCATCTTTATATCATTACTATTAATAATAGTATTATAGATCTTAGAAATACAAATAGTAATAGTAGTAACAGTAGTAATAGCATAATCACGTTTCTTCTCATCAAAAGCATTAACGAAAAAAAAAAAAAAACACAACATAAAAATAACAACCAACAGAAAATTTATCTTACCGGAAGTCAATCGTGCTTTCCACCTCACAGTCTTATAAGAAGAAACGCAGAAAAAAAACAATAATATTAAAAAAACGAAGACTAAAATTCACAAGCAAACATCAGGGATTAAGTCTATGCCATTGATAAACATCGCCTTTATCTCATGAATGAATCACGCCTCATGAACGTGCTGTGGTCGGAAGACCGAAACTCCGCAGCCAGTCATGCAGAAAGACAGACAGACATATTGACAGATAGATAGACTGACAGATAGACAAACGGATAGATAGACTGACAGATAGATAAACGGATAGATAGACTGACAGATAGATAAACGGATAGATAGACTGACAGATAGATAAACGGATAGATAGACTGACAGACAGATAGAAGGAGAAATAGACAGGCTGGCAGAGAGCCAAGCATAGATTAACAGTTAGACTGACTCACAAAGAGACAGATATACAGATTAAAAGGGAGACAGATAATGATATGCAAATGGACTGACAGAGAGACAGACGGACAGAGAGACAAACTGACAGAGAGACAGACTGACAGAGAGACAGACTGATAGATAGACAGAGAGAGACAGACATACTGTCATAGACAGACAGACTGACAGAGAGAGACAGACTGTGTTAAGACATGCAAATAGAATAACGGAGACAGATAGACAGAAAGACAAACGGACAAACTGACAGAGATATAAATAGACTGATAGACAGACTGACAAAGAGAACAGACATATGGACTGACAGAGGGAACAGACAGACAGACTGACAGAGGGAACAGACAGACAGACTGACAGAGGGAACAGACATACAGACTGACAGCTATGTGATGAGTGACTTGTGCATTGTTCCCATTATCACGTCTTCCGCCTTGGAGAGAAGAAAGAGGCGATGAAGGAACAAAAGAAAGAGAGAGACACGTACACAGGTAATCGCACACGGAGAACCGCACACGCACATGCAACACGATGTCGTAAAAACACACACACACACACACTCACTCGCGCGCACACATGCACACATGCACACACACACACACACACACATATGTACACCGACACACACACACACACACACACACACACACACACACACACACACACACACACACACACACACACACACACACACACACACACACACACACACACACACACACACACACACACACACACACACACACACACACACACACACACACACATATATACACGCACACACACACACACACACACACACAATACAGCAACAATCACAAACACACCCACCTCCATACATACATAATCACGAAAAAGATAAACACACGCACGCACACACACACACACGCGCAGGTATTCTTCCAAAGAGAGGATGAAGAACGATCTGACATTGAGGTGGAGGAGGCAAGGACAGACCCGAATGTTTTTAGCCAATAGAATTTTCTCTTAAGATTATGAGGCAGGTCGTGATAGGTGGAGAAAGGGGGGGAGAGGGGAAGGGGGCGGGGGCGGGCGGCAAACTCTCCCAATCTCGTCACCAAAGTCAGTTTAAAAGGTCAGAATGCTAAACGCGGCGTGGAAATAGGTTTCCCATGACATCACCGCAGCTCGTGATGTGTTTTTGTTTGTTGAATTTGTGATTTGTTTTTTTTATGTTTAGTATGTAACTGAGGTGCAAGTTTTGCTGTTTAAAAAAAGGTCTAGAGAGTTATGGTTGATTAAAAAAAAAGAAAAAAAATTACGACGAAAACATTTGATTTTTTTTCGGAGGGGGGGGGGGGGAGGGGCACTACGGATCCTGCATAGCACCCAACCCACATATTAAAAAAATCTAAACACGCCCACAAAAACAAAACAAAAAAAAAGAATAAAAACTAAAACCGAACACTCTTGCTTCTAAACCAAACTAAACCAAACCAAACCAAAAAAAAAAAAAACACTCATTCTTCAAGAATAAAGAAAACCGTCCACATTGTGATGAAATCTTAGCGCCATCCGGTAAGGTTAAAACTCTGCCCCTCCTTCCCCTCCCTCCCTCCCTCCCCCCCTCTCTCTTCCTCTCTCTCTCTCTCTCTCACTCTCTCTCCTTCTCTCTCTCTCTCTCTCTCTCTCTCGACGTCGGAGCCAACACACCTCGCCCTCCTCCAGTCTGCCGCCCGCACTCCGCCCGCCGCCCGCAGACCAGCTCCAGCCCGCAGCTCTTCAGGGAAGCCACTACTGCACTTTGTCAGGTATGGTTACAGGCTCTGCTTTCTTTATTAATGTTGTTTTGCAGTTGTTGCTGTTGTTATCGATATTGCTGTTGTTATTGTTGTTGTTGTTGTTATTATTATTATTGTTATTATTATTATTATTATTATTATTATTATTATTATTATTATTATTATTATTATTGTTATTATTATTATTGTTATTATTATTATTATTATTATTATTATTATTATTGTTATTGTTATTATTATTATTGTTATTATTCTTATTCTTATTGTTATTATTATTATTATTATTATTATTATTATTATTATTATCATTATCATTATTGGTGTTTTGTTATTATTAGTACTGTTATTATTATACCATTATTGTTTTTGTTATTGTTATTACTGCCAATAAGAATGCATACAATTTTTTCTTCAAAGATTAAAAAAACGCAGGTTCTTCGTTCTTGTAAATTCGGGATACCGCTCTCTCAACAAACTCGAACTTTTATCTTATATGTCGTCATTTATGCCACTCCTAAATCACCTTTTTTAAAATCAATATCCATTCACGTCGTAACTTAAAAGGCGCCAAGTTCCCTTTCTTTAATGGTTTCAAAGGCATGGAAAGTTCCCCAAGTTCCCCGCACTGCGCGCCGGATCCGGTTCATTGCGGTTTAACTTGGAAAAACTCACGAAGCCGTTCTTTTAGCAAATGTTGTATCTACTGTGTTTTAAGCTGTTTTATTGTCGTTTATTGTTGAGTTGGAGAAGTTGATATTCTTATACTTAAAGAGAAAAATAGAAATAGATCGTAATGGGTTGAGAGATCATATCAATAAGAACAAAAGAAAATTGTGAATGCTTTACATAAAAAAGGGGAAAAAATCAATTGAAGAATATTTTTTAATCATAATCTCTTGAGAATAAAAGGAAGGAACATGTTTATATATATATATATATATATATATATATATATATATATATATATATATATAACTACTGGAAATAGCCGAACAATAATGGAATTAATACCAAACAATGCCAGTTTTTATGAAGACATTATTTTCCATTTCATTTTAAATTTCATTAAAACAAACAAACTCTCATACTTTCATATAGCACGACCTCCCCCCCCCAAAAAAAAAAAAAAAAAAAAGAAAAAATCTAAATTTAAAATTGGGCGCCTAAACCTGTCGATAATCAGAACAGCTGCCGCGTTAATTTCTTTTAAGTTGCAACCCAAACACGAATTAACATAAACAGCCCATTGCTTTCCGATTTACATGAAAATGGTGTTTTATATAGCATGTTTTACTTTAGCTTTATGTTGAATGTTTTTTTAGCCTTTGATATTGTATATTACACTTGGAAAATGTATATTTAATTTAATATTTAATTGTTTACTTTGTTATTTTCGTTTTTAATGCTGCAGATTTTGGACTTGTACACTGTAATATTATGGTCTTTTATAGTGTATAATTCAACTACTTATAGTGTACAGTTTAGCGTCCAGCACTATATTTTTCAGCATATCTAGAGTATGTATGTGTATGTGTATGTGTGTGTGTGTGTGTGTGTGTGTGTGTGTGTGTGTGTGTGTGTGTGTGTGTGTGAGTGAGTGAGTGTGTGTGTGAAAGCCAGACTATGTATACTTATTTGTGAACGTCTGTGCGCGAACATCTGTATGCATTTATACAAAAACCGGTCCATGTATATGAATATGTAAGTAGGATTCCATGTATATATACTCCACCAGAACACCATGCACACACACATGCACGCGCG